AGTTTTAATTAAGAAAGGACTTGTATCGCTAAGTTTTTTTTTTTTTTGAAAAAATTTCTACGGAAAATAAACCAACAACCAGGGATGTAACAATACTTTTACTTTTTTTGTTACACCCCAAATGCATTAGGTTAATATTATTTAGGACCCTGTAACACACATACCTACAACAGAATATAACATTGGACGAGATATTAAAAAAGGTGTTCCGGACAGAAACCATATTTCATCTATGTCACTAGTTTTCAAATGTTTCTATAGTTTTTAGTTTTTATTTCATTGACTTATTGCTTTAAAGTTTTCGTTTTGGCCATTTCCTTTTTAGTTTTATTACTAAAAAGCACTAGTAGAAGTATGTTATCTTACTTAATTTTTAACTTGTTGAAATGATATAGTGCGTTCCGACATTTCTTTTTGTAGCACTCGAGCACTGGATAAAGCTTTCATAAGACAAACAAAACAACAACGAATAAAGTATTCACACCGTAATTCCCAAAAATCGTATGAAAGTGTTAACGTTATGTTTCTGAATTCTATATGCTACCGACTGCATTTTTCTGTACAAATTGACACCCTCGTGGGAAAATGCGTTCCGAGTAATAACCAGCATGAACGATTTCTTTATCGCCCGTCATGATAAAGACATAAAACATAAAATTTGAGGGATATATTTCGTTTGTTTTCACAATGTTACTAAAGACACATGGTTACTTGTAACATGTACCACACTGTTGAACATTTGCATTTTATTTATTTCATTCTTCCAAATAATAAGTTTCCCCACGTGTTTAATTTTTTGAGCAGACGTTTGTTAGTTTGCGTACTTAGTACAGTGCAGGTTTTTAAGTGGTTTGGTCTAAATTTTTGAGAATGTTTAGTTCTATGGAAAGCTGGATGTACAGGAAAATATGTGATGTTTGTATATGCTTAGGCCTTGTCGTTGAAGATTGTTTAGTTCTATGGAAAGCTGGATGTACAGTAAAATATGCAAAGTTTGTATGTAGTTATGCCTTATCGTTGAAGATTGCTTAGTTCTATGGAAACCTATAGAAAATATGAGCTTACTTCATGAAGGCAATAACTCCCACACGGGAAATATTTTCAACCAGAAGTTTCCACGTGTTGGTCAAAAGGGCTATCTGGTTACTTGTCAGTTCAGGACGTTCCACTGGACCTGCAGTTTCACCGGACACAGGCCCATTGTGTTGCTGTAGGAAGCTGCTTCCTCTCTTCTTGAAAGTTATAGCTTTGGTCAATTCACACCCCATGCTGAGTTTGATTTGACTACTGAGAGACAAACATGTTATTTGTTTTACTACAAGTTGTAGTGACATGCCATTTAGTGATTACTGTAATTTTCAATACAAGAGCAGTTTGTATTATACTCTAACCTGAAACCAAAGACAGATATCTATTCTTTATGTAGAGAAAAAACACAAATTCGGCCTCATTCCAAAACATATTCATGATGTACATACTTCCCTAATTTTCGGAATTCAACACATTTTTGTGATAGTCTTAATTAGTCACTTTGGTATCCAACAATACATATCCATGGTAGCAACGCTTCGCCATTTTTCGGCGTTGAATACAATATATATTCACGATAATTAAACTATCTGAATTGTCAACAAAAAGACAAACCTGTTAATTTCTAAGTGTCCGAAGTTACAGTGTAATGCGTTAACATTTTGAATACCGCATATTTTAAAATTATTTTACACTAGTTCTCGTCTTGACCGCTAGAAACCAAAGCGACATTAAAATATTCTTTTGTACTATCCTGATAAACATAAACATAAACAAAATAAAGAACCGACAGCTGGAGTGACGCAACAAATTTTTGCAGGAGTTGTTTTCTTTCCAACATAGAGATAATAAACATTGTTTTGAAAATATTACACTGTATTCACTGTTACCATGGTAATCATTAAAACAAAAAAATGTCCATAAGAATAATATTGGAACTTTGAAGACCCGTGGGGCGGAGCCCTAAGGTGAATTCCAGAAATCCTATAACCTTCTCACGCATGTATAGAACAAAGAAAAAAAGTTTCATCGAAATCAGTGCACCCGTTTTCCCATGAAAAGCGAACCAAAAACACGTCCGCGAGCGTTACCGACAGACACACTGACAGACAGACAGAAATTGCACTATTCTAAGCAATGTACAGACAAAACTCTTATTTTATTTATATAGAGATTAAAATCTATAGCGGATTTTAATTATTTCTTCAATAAGGAAAATGTATTTAGTGTGC